TTCTCGTACCATCGAATACTTCATCAAATTCTCAACATGGAAATAATCGATCATTAAATATTCAAGAACAACAACAACTTACACTTGATTCACCTCGATTACCTTTATCATCTAATTCGAATAATACATCTTATAATAATGAATCTTCTCTACTTATGTGTGGACCAAATACGAATGGTCCACCAAGTACTCATCTTAATCCAAATAGTAGTTTAACACCAACAATAGCTACACCGAGTAATGCTCCTTATCCTCATACAATGCCTTCACTTTATGCTAGTAGTCCTAGTTCATTGTCAAATGCTGCTACAGGTAAATTATATTCGATAGATAATTTGAGTCTTCAATGAATTTATATAATTAAGATGCTCATCATAATTTACAAAATCTTGTTGCAATGTCTCAAATGAATAATGGAGGTAAATAGTAACCTAATCAAATATATGATTAATAATAAGTTATGATTAAAAGGTCTTCTACCGACAACAACTTCACCTGTAGCAGCATCTGGTAAGATATCTTATTGTGATTTGTTTTTCTATCGGAGCTGAAAAATTATTAGTGCTATGTTTATTTTCAATTAAAGAATACAACTTGTAATTTTTAAATTTTATGAAAATTATACTGATAAATCTTAAATAATTTAACGGTCACTCAGTATAGTAAACATCTCGATTTGTTTGTTTAATCGAAAAAAAGAAATTTATGATTCCGACTTTTTAAAAATAATTTATAGTAAATGCGTCCCAGGTAGAGATAAACATGAGATTTTCTGATTTCAATTGGAGAATCCAATATATTTTATGGAAAGAAAAAGTAAAAGAAACATTCAACTCAATTCTTCTTGTTGTAGAATAGAAGGCCATCCACAAGAAAAATCTTACAAGTCGTAATAGAAGATTGTGGATTTTTCAAAAGTCTTGTTCAGAAATCCAACGAATTCGTATTTAATTTCAGCACTTAAATATTCCATCATCCGTAAACACTATTTTGTTTTCTAATAAAAATGGCTGTTGTTTCCAGCAAAAAGCCTGGTTTTCTATTACTAAGTTGCTAAAAGTGTCTGTTTTTATACCAGAAGAGTTTTTCAAAAACCCTTGCTTTTCTAGGCAAAAGTTAGCAAAAAATAAGCTCACAATAGAACATCATGATTTTTTTTATTCTGATGAATAGAGTCCGTTCGGATGGTTCCGACAGGCTCTACTGGGAAGGAAGCCGTTTATTAAATTTTGTAGAGAAATGTTTTCCTTCCAAGCAAGACTATCACAACTCTGTCTAGATTTTGTAGCCTGAAAAAATAAATACAAAGTTTTCAACTGGGTTCATGCCCAATCGCGTTATAATCATGCTGTAACTTCATCATCAATAATCATATAGTTTTCGAAACAGTCTTATATTTATAGAGAAAATATTTCTTATGAGGATGTAGCCGCGAAATGTTTCTTCGCTTTTTTGCTTTCCTCAGAAATATTAGATTCTACAACCGGAACCAAAAAAGAAAAAATTTTCGTCCATATCTCTAATTACAAAAGTGTTTAATTTAACAGCTATGTTGATTTTTTTATTATTTATATTTAGGAAATACTGTTAATCAGGCTGTAGTCAGACAACTAATGTTGTCAAAAAAAACATATGAGAAACAAAGGTGCTGATTGCGGCTAAAAACCTGTTGCTTTACATTCACTGAAATTTATGGAGTTTTGTTATGTCCTGCAAAAAGAAAAACTGTCACCATCGTAATAGACATCTCTACTTAGAAATAAAAAAATCTTCCATATTTGTTTCGATCTTTAATAATTCTATTTATAATAATATATTTGTAGCTTCCTTTCCTGTCTTTCCATCAGCATCATATCTTTCTTCTCAAGTAGCTGGTAAACATACCGAAGGTTTGTTTGAATCAATTGTTAATTACTTTCTTGTGAAAAAATAATTTATTTTATTTGCTAAAATTAGGTCCTGATGGTGCTAATCTATTTATTTATCATCTTCCACAAGAATACAGTGACACAGATTTAGCTCAAGCGTTTGCATCCTATGGACCAATTATATCTGCTAAAGTATTTGTTGACAAGACAACAAATCGAAGCAAATGTTTTGGTAAATTTTATAAAAACTTTTTCTTCGTTTAACAATAAATAATTTTTTCTTTTTGTTGTCAAGGTTTTGTAAGTTATGATAATCCAACATCTGCTCAATCAGCTATAAATCAAATGAATGGTTATCAAATTGGTATGAAACGACTTAAAGTTCAATTAAAAAAACTTCGAATTGGTCCAAATAATGATTTAAATAGTCCAAATGGAAATCAGACTCAAACAATTATGAATAATAATTCAAACAATCATAATGGAAATTCACCAACAACACCAAAGAAATGTTCCTATTAAATAAACCAAATTTAGAAAAAAAAAAGAATTAAATTAATAGAACATTTCCGTGTATTCACAGTTTGTTTCTTACGTGTGTAAACGACCTATTTTTTTTTTTGTTTTCTATTTATAATACATAAATTTTGTTGTCTTATTGTCCTGTATTATATCTATTGTCATTGAATCGATTAACAAAATATATATATATATACTAACACTTCATTTTTGCATGATTGTATAAGTATATTGTACGGTTCTTCTTTTTTTTTTGTTCTATTTTTGCAGTGTTATCTCATCAATTTCTTATCGTTATTAATAGTCTTGAATATTTGCCCATTTTTCTCATATGTAGCTTCTTTTTTTTTTAAAAAACGAAACTATATGTCTACTTGTTTTTTGTCGTTTGTTCTTTATTCTGTGTTGATTTTTTATTTGTAAGTTTGTTCGTTGATTGTTTATCGATGTTGTTTTAACGTATTGAATCAACACGAGTATTATAAGAAACAAACAAGAATTTCTTAACATATATACATATATATTTTTTTCTTTTATTGGAAAACACAAATGTATGAATGGTATTGATAATAATCGAATAAACAATTCTGTAGTATTCGCCATTTGAAAGATAAATCTACTAAATTGTTTACATATCTTCTTGATTGCAGACATTTTTCCTTAATTGGAAGAAAAATACTTATAAAATAGAACCAGGAGAAGACAGACAAAAGTGGTTGCATATTGGAAAACGTCTGCAAAATGGAATCGAAGTGGCGAAGAGAAAAAATTTCCGCATTATGTAAACAAGCGAAAATAGATATATAGTAAGATGATCAGTGTAGATAACTCCAGTTAAGAGAACCTAATACAACATTTTGTAATACTATTGAAGAAATTAGTAATATAAAGCAAAGTTTTCTTAAATTAATAGATGACATTCTTTATACATATAAGACGGACCATAAATAGCTAACACATACATGATTAGAAGGCTGAAACAAGGCGATTACTCACTCGTAAATGTTTTCTTATGTTTTACCTTTCTCTCTGGAAATTTTCTGTTCTGAATAGGCAACGTTTTTAATCTTTCGCTAGGAAAGATGAACTATATAAAATTGAAGTTTGATTTCCACTTTTTAAAGAGAATTAGTTATTTTTTTTTCAAAAAGAAATTGAATTAGATCATATTTTGAAGAGAAATATAATGGTATGATAATGGGTTCTTTGAAATTTTTAATTAATATAATTTGATTGAATAGCCAATGCTAATGATCATTTCTAATAGTTATAACATAAATCGATCATTTTCAAAAAAATCGGAAAAAACATGATACAACTATGTTTTCTTTTATCAACTTATTCGTATGATTAGTTTCTATTTTAAAGTAAATCGAATCTTTTAAAAGGAATCATATAGACATTGTTTTTCATTTTATGCCAATTGAAATAAAAAGTTAATTGATATTTTAGAACAACGAATTCTCTCGATAGTAGTTGTCCTCTAACGTTGATATACAAACTTTGTACATTTTAACTCAATCTTATAAATCATTTTCGGGATGTTATTGATGAAATGGAAGTTGATATGGTTTCAGTGAGTCATATCGAATCATAAATTGATGTGCAATTGACCGTGGAAATCAGCAAGCTATTGCAGCAAATTAAACACTTACTTTTTATTCACTTTTGTCAATCATTATTTATAGTCTTCGGTGAGCGTGTTTTTTAAACCTTAGAAGACTTTTCAAATCATTATTGATTTCTGTCGAAATCTAGTCGTTTCTTTACTTAATTCAACCAACAATTCTTAATTAATCATTCCAAATGATCTGGTTTAGATCATTAATAAAGATGATCTTAATTCAATAATATATAGACACAAATATTTTTTTGGAAAACATGTTGAAGGCTAATTATTTTCGACTTCGAGTCTATCAAAAACTGTCTATATGAATCTGCCTTCGACGTCAAGAAATCTTGAAAAGTCATTTGTTTTAGTTGTGCAATATCTAAACCATTTTATTTAATTTTTACATACTTCTTGTTTATATAAATATCTCTTTTATATTATTTTTCGCTCTTCAAATTTGTTAAAGCAACTACAGATTCAACCTTGATTCCGAGAAAATGTTTTACGAAATTCGTCTCGTCAGAATTGGGTTTTTCAAATCGTACAGATCTATGACTTCAAAATACAGCAATTGTTTTGAATTAAACTGCTGAAAGAAGACTAGAAAAAATTCTGTAGCATTTGATAATAGATAGTTATTTCTTTACAATATCTTCACAAAGTTTCAGAAGATGGTTCAGCTTACTTTTGACATTTGAAATAGTAGATTTTATATATTCTAATAAGTTTTTCTTTACTACCCAAACGAACAGTTACAGAAGATCATTCCTGATACCTCAAAAAAATAATCTTTTTTTTTTAAATTGAGCGACAATATGATAGCGTGAGGTCGCTATCTGACGCTAAAGAAGACAATATAAATTATTCAAATGTTGACAATAAAATACGATTGGATAATCGTTCATTCACGTGTTACTAGTTTTTGTTTTTGCTTCACTTATTTGTTTTATTATTTTATCTGTCCTTTGCTATTTAAATTTATTTTTCTATGTAGCATTCTTATGGCTCATGATAAAAAATTATTTGAACGAAAGGAAGTTTTTATTAGAGATCGATTATCACAAGCGGAAAAACAAGCAGCACCACTTGATGAAATAAAAGGAACAATAACTATTTTTGAAAATGAACGTGGGAAATTCTTTGGTTTTAAACCATTTGGTCTTGAAGATAGTATGACAGATGATTGGGCATTAGTTAATGGTAGTCAATCAATAATTTCTTTTAAAAATCGAGGAAATGATAAAGATTCTGTAGCAGTTTCACCGAATCCATTATTAAAATTTCGTTTTTGTTTTAATATAAATAATTTACGAAGTATTCGTCGATGTCGTATATTATCTGATATTCGGTCTTTAAGATTGGAACTTAAAGATGGTACAACTTTACCAACATTTCATTTTAATCTTGGTGGAAGTCGAGAACTTTTACAATTACTTAATAAATATCTAAAACTTGAAAAGTAAAAAAAACATGTTTAAAAAAAATAAGAAAAAGTTTTTATTTGTAAAATAAGGTCAACACAAGATAATCAACTTTACATTGTTAAAGATGATCTTCCACAAGCGAATATAATCGAACCAATAAGTGCTTTTGATCAATTAAATTTATTTGATGATTCAAGTAGTATGATGAAACGAATAGTAAGTAGAAAACAACTGTTTTCTTTTTAAATGATTGGTATGTACATTCATCGGAAACATATCACCATTACACTGATTCTGGGTGTCAGCGGCGAGATAGCATGAGTCTTGTTTAAGTGCGCTGTGCTAAAGTTTTTAGTGAAAAGCTGCTGCTTTGCAGTTACTGCGCAAAAAAGCTATTGACAATTTACTGGCTCAGTCAAACTAATGAAATTTTGTCTTTCTCCAAGTACTTTGACCTATCTTGCGAAGTTCATACCGAATCTCATCCAGTTCCAAACGGCTGCAGATAGTTTCAAGTAAAAGAGCATTGAAAATGCTCTACATGGAAGAAGAAAGGTTTGTTGTCTACAGGGATTTTGATTATCTGGATTTTCTAGAAAATCTTTCAAAGTCAAATTTTATTCAAAAATGTTTTGTGCCATATGGTCAGATTGACCGTTTAATTTTGAATAAAAGTAGATGTTTCCAACAGTTTTAGGGTTCATCGTTCGAAAGTCTCAGTGAAAATACGAAAAATGCTTGTAAATGCTCTATTAGAAGCTGAAAAAAGAAATTCACACATGTATACTTTACTAAGCATCTAACTCAGTCAGCTCCATCAATAAGAATCTGTGAAACATTACATTTTATTCGAAGTCGAATGCTCTATCCAATCATGTGGCATAAAATATTTTTCAAAAAAGTTTGACTGTGAAAGGTTTTCTAGAATATCCAGATAATCAAAGCCCTAGTATGAAACAAACCTTGTGCTTCCTTCCACATATTTCATTTTCAATACTTTTTCATCTGAAATTATTCACATTCATTTTGGAGCGGGATAAGATCCCCGTATGAACTTCGCAAGATTGATTAAATAGCTGAAAAAAACACAAAATTTCACTAGTTTTGCTGGGCATATAAATCGTCAACAATTTTATTTCTGCAACAACTACAAATCTGTAACTTCTACCAATAAATTCTGCACAACACACTCTACTAAACACATGATATTTCGCCGCTGACACCTAACATTGGTGTAGTGAGGATATGTTCCTGATGTTTTTTTTTTCAATATATATATATATATATTTAGAGAGGACCGGATCCACGTCGTAAAGCTATTGAACGATTTTCTAAAGTAACAAATTTTCTTAAAGATGCTTTTCTTGGTCAAAATGAATTTATATCAATGAGTGATAATCCAGATGGTACAATGGGTGCTGATGTAACTGCTCTTATGGAATCATTTAGTAGAGATTTAAGAGAATCAAATAATGATGGTTTTGAAGTTATTTATAAGGTTCAAATATTTACATGAATTTTTTTTGATTCATTATTTAATTTCATTCGTAAGTTTTAGGTTGATTTTAAAAATTTACCTGAAGTTAACCGTAGTCAACCATTGACCAGCAAAGAATGGCAAATGTTCTTTGATAAAAATGGACGTATTATAGATGTTAAAAAAGTAAAAGAACGAATTTTTCGTGGTGGATTAGAATCAAATATATTGAGACGTGATATATGGAAATTTTTATTAAATTATTATCCATGGTCATCAACTCGTGATGAACGAGTTGAATTAGTTAAACAAAAAGAATCTGAATATTTTGCAATGAAATTGCAATGGAAAACAATGAATGAACAACAAAAACAAAGAAATAGTTTATTTCGCGAGCGAGAATCATTAATTGGTAAAGATATTATTTATCCCTTTAGAATTAGTCTAAATTGATAATCATAAAATTGAAATTTTTCATTTCTCTGGAACAAGACAAAAAAAATCTTAAGAATATCTATTAAGTAATTCGAAGAAGATTGCATGAAATTATTCATGAAAAAGATCAATTTTGAGATATTTAAAGTATGAAACGAAATAGAATTTTAGATTTTCAAACTATGTTTCGTTTATCTGAAAAACTGTTTAATGAAAACAATTTCATTGTGAAAGAAAATCTGTAATTTTGAAAGTATTTATCATGAGTCGTAAGAATCATTAAATGACCGATTCAACTCAATTAAAGATTCATAAATTTGTCTGGATCTTCATATAGATCTAACGAGAGATCATTCTAGCTTGTACCTGACCTTTGAACTTATATTGTATCTACAAGGACACCTTGCTGAGACTTGGAAAGTTTCATCCTCAATAACCTTTGGAGGTGAGTTATGATCGTTTGACTGAGTGTTCGACCTAACTTTAGATACATAATGAAGGATGACCGAAAGAATATTCTTTAGTGTGAGATATCGAATTTCCAAAAAATTCTTTTCGGTTGAAAGTATTAGGATATTCTAAGAATTATTAGACCTATTATCTTTTGTGGAGAAAACTTTACATTAAAATTCTACTTTTTGGTTTTTCGATATATACTTAAAGCTGAGTCGAACATTCAGTAAAACGATACCGCCTGGCCTTTAACGGCTTATGTGGACAAATCTTTTTAGACTTTTTCTAGTCTCCTCAAGGCGTTTTTGTAGACCTGTATAAGCTCAAGCAGTGAATATCAGTTTAGATGATTCTCTTTTGAATGTATCGACTTTAGAAAAACCATTTGAACTAATTTTATTTCATCGATCTGAAGAAAGGCTACTTACACGATGAAGTAACATTAGTCCACCATATAAATCTTCGAAATAGATCTTTTTCAGATGAGTAGGTTGCAGTTTATACAAGCTTGTCCCCACAAGAATACTCACGTACGCCTATTTAGACATGTAAGCAAAAGTTTAGAATCTTCAATTAATATGAATTATTCATGATGTTCATATAATGACTCATGCCAAATGCCCTAAATGAGAATACCCTCGTCAGATGATAATGTCTCTACTGGTATACATACAAAACAGTTAAAAACTTTACTCCTCATCAAAAACAACGTGCTCTATAGCGATAGATTATGTCTCTCATAAGAAGTCGAGATTTGAAGGAGAAAAAATAAGTCTAGAAACCTAGAAACTCCTAGTAGATCTTAAAACTAGATTTATCAGTTCATTTCATCATTCACTATGATCTAAACTTAACGAATTTAATGTGATTTCTACTATATTTTAAGGATTGAAGACTTCATCAAGATTCATTAGAATCTTTACCGAAGCTCACTAGAATCTTAGAATCTCGACTTCGCTTTATTATTCTTGTTCAGAATTCCACAGCTTCGATTTCTCAATTTTTTTCGATTGATTTCTTTCGATTCTGTTGTTCTTAGAATTCATTTCTCCTAGACTTCAATATTCATTCTATGAAAATTCTTTTCTAACTTGTCTAATAAATCTTTTTTACTTTTAGAAAAAGATGTAATACGTACGGATCGAGTACATGAATATTTTCAAGGTGATAAAAATGTTCATCTTGAAGTTTTACATGATGTATTAATGACCTATAATATGTTTAATTTTGATTTGGGTTAGTAGATATATATATATATAAATTCGATTTTTCTCTAATTTATATTCCTATTTTTTGTTAAGGTTATGTCCAAGGTATGAATGATTTATTAAGTCCTATATTGATCGTTATGGACGATGAAGTTGATGCATTTTGGTGTTTTGTTGGACTTATGGAACGTATGGAACAAAATTTTCATATGGACCAATCACATATAAAACGTCAACTTAGTAATCTTCATACACTTCTTCAATTTGTTGATGCTGAACTTGCGAATTATTTAGGTAAAAAAAGCAAGATAAATAAGACTGTCAGATAAGAGAACGTAAATTTGTCATTCTCTTAAATTTCAGTTTCAATAGGTTAGAAAGATAGAGCATGATTCAAGAACGAAATAGTTCTACAAGAGTCTATCAGTTTTGGCTAAGAACTGTGGAAACGATAGTTATATCTTGTGTAAACTTAATATGAAAACTAATATTATAGACCAATATAGTTTTTAATGCTCTACAAAATAACATATTGATCATATTTTTATACAGAGTTGAAGAGATACGGTTCTCATATCATATTGACGAGTTTCGATACTTTTATAGGATACTATTTATTTAACTATTGCATAATTACTAAAATTCTTGTTGTTCAGAAGTAATGTTGTCTCACACTCTACAAATCTATGTACTTGTAAGAAAAAACTATTCTACTCTAAAGTTCATTTTTGTCAAAGTATTCTATGAAGGTGACGATTTTAGACGTGGGTGTGAGTGTGCCAAACAGAGCTCACCCACACCCTCCATATTTGAATATCTATGGAAAAAATTATATCATATATTTATTATCTCTCGTGACATTTCTTGAATCTCGAATTTCTCGATGTAAAATTTCATAACAGTTGTATAAAAACTGTGAGTAAACAAAGCGTGATGATATCAATTTCATTTGAAATTCAAGGATTTAACTGTTACCTAAATTTCAATAAATTCTTGAGTTCGTAGGGTTGCTTGAGTTTCTGAAATGAAGTTGTACTTTTAAGATGAATCATGAGTTCAGAACTCACAGAATCGAAACATGTTTCGTAACTGACGCCTGTAAAACTATTAGTCTTGGAAACAAAATTGTGCATTCAAATAAATACACATGAAATGTGCAAAATTTCATGCTCAAGCATTTTAATCTATTGAAAGTGAAATTTAAGTAGATGACAGATTTACAATCTCTCATCCAGCAGTATTCTTTGTTAACTTTAATAATTTAAATAAAAAATTTATTTTAGCTGAAAATAATTCAAGCAATATGTATTTTTTCTTCCGGTGGATGTTAATTTGTTTTAAACGTGAATTTTCATTTGATGATGTTATGTATTTATGGGAGGTAAATAAAGAAATAAATCTTTTTTAAACGATTGAATAATTTTATTTAAAATTATTAAAAATTTCAGGTCTTATGGACAGATAATTTATCTCAAAGTTTTGAATTACTTGTTTGTTTAGCTATTTTGATTTCACAAAAAAAAGTTATTATGGAATCAAAATTTGGTTGTAATGAAATTCTTAAAGTATGTTTTAATATTTGCCTTTTAACTAAATTAAGTATGAATATATTTAATAGCATATCAATGATCTTTCACTTAAAGTTCCATTGGAACCATTATTAAAACATGCAGAAGGTCTTTATATGCTATTAAAACAACATGATCAATCAACACCTGGTCTTCCATCATCTATATCAGCAATAATGTTTCCAAATAAACATAAAAATAATGGTCACGATTCCGATTCGGATGTAACATCAACAGTATCATCAATAAAATCTTCACGTGAATCATCACCAAATTCAAATATTGAACGTAAACCTCGTACAAGACATTTAACTGAATCACATTCAATTGATGAAAATGATAGTGCAGTTGTTAGTCATACCAAAAACAATTAATATTGTATGTTTACGGATTATTTTCTTTTCTTTCGTTATTGTTGTATTTGTTTCATCAATTCTCTTTGTTTTTTTATTGATTCATATTCTCGTACACATAATTCTGTTCGAGAACAAAGAAACAAAATCACATAATCACCATATTTTTTTTTCTCTCTACACGTTTAACGATATATTTATTCTAGATAAACTATAACAAAGAAAAACAAAACATGAGTGAAAAAATTTTAGCCAATAAAAAAGTTCATGCAGATGATGACGACGATGATGATGACGATGATGATGATGATGATTATTGTCCGACAAAAACTCAGAATGAACAATCAGATCGAAGTGAAGAATCAGAACATAATGACGATGATGATGATGATAATGATAAAGATGATGATACTGTCAATGGTCAAAATCAACAAGCAGATAATAAAAAACAAAATAATGCAAACGTAACACCATATGATGAATCAAAAACAAATGAACTTTGGAAGAATTTTGCAAGTAGTACGAAATCATCATCGACAACAACAAATAGTCCAAAGACGACAACAGAAATATCAAAATCAACAATACAAACTCCAAAACCAATAACAACAAATAAAATACTTGAATTCGCTGGTGAAAAGATTTCAGTACCAGTTACACCAACAACAACGACAGAAAATTCGTCTTTAAAACGACCAGCTTCTTCATCAACAACATCTAATTCTGTACTCGATCGTCTTGGTATTGGTAAAAAGCAAAAATTATCAACATTAGAAAAATCTCGTCTCGATTGGAAAACACATAAAGAATCAGAATCATTAACAGAAGATTTGGAGTCTCATCGACGTGGCAAAGATTCATATGTTGAAAGGAAAGCTTTTCTACAACGTTCAGAACTACGTGAACATGATCATTATTTATTTAATGTAAAAAAGAAATGAGTTTATACTACATTGTTATTATATAGATAATATTAAAAGAAAGCAAATATCTAAGAATCTCTTTTGTCTCAATCAAATCATATCAATCATTTTCTATTCTGTATCTATTTGTCTAGTTTGTTTAATCAATCCCGGAATCAAATACATATCTTCTAGTCTATTACTATTGATTGCCAAATTATTCGACTAATCATAATCAATCCCAAATTACATTTCTATCTCGACAAACATAAGGTATGATAGATTTGGATAATTTATAAATTCATCAAGCTTTTAATTTAACGAAGAAGCAGTAGATCATGATCTTCTCACATGAATAAAGGTATATGCTGAATGTAATAATCGACGGCGGGGCTCATGAGAGAACTTCTCCCAATGTCCTCTTCCGATTTCAATGTTTTTTTTAACCTATATACATGCTACATAGTGTTCTAATAAAAATTTTTGAAGGATTTGAGTTCCCATTGAGATTTGATTAACTTATTCAATTTTTAATATGTCTATTGTCTAGAAGTCTTTGTAGAACCTCTGGTTTTTGTAAAACTCGTATTGTTGGATTTTGATCTGAAACTTTGCGAATGTAGAGAACTTAACTAGGCTAGTTTCGACAAAAAAAAAATTCACAAGTTTTGAATAAAGTCTCGTAGAGATATGAATCTTTCAAAATACAGATCTGTTTTCGTGGATAATGTATATAACATGAATTTTTTTGAGAGATTCATATATATTGAAGAGGCTTTGTTCAAAACTTGATAACTTTTTTTAATGAAAGCTAGTCTAATTGAATTCTCTACTCTGACAAAATTTCTGATCAAAGTTCGAAAATACGAGTTTTCCGAAAACCTAAGACTTCTAGAAAATAGACATACTAACATTTCGATAGCTCAGTAAAATCTCAATAGGAATCCAAATTATATTATTGTTTTATTAGAACATTATGTGGTATCTATAGGAAAAAAATTATTTAAATTGAAAGTGACGAGACGGCATCTGATAAGGGTTCCCTCATCAGCCGATCGACTTACACTTGTTCCGATAAATGAATGAGATGAAATTTTGTTTTATAGTTATTTTTCTAAAATTTAAATAAAAAAACATATTGTTTTAGATTTCAGATAACAGTTTTGTTATGCTATAAACGATGAACAGAAGCATTGCTTGTAAAGTAGTTCTATTAGGAGAAGGCAGTGTTGGTAAGGTGAGTGACTTGAAAAAAAAAGATTTTTTTTTAAAGGGTCTATAGAATTCATTCTTTTAGACTTCAATTGTTCTACGTTATACAGAAAATTTATTTAATGATAAACATCTTGAAACACAACAAGTCAGTTTATAATTTGAATATTATGAATATCTTTTGTTATGTTTTATTAGGCTTCTTTCAAAACAAAAAAGTTAACTTTAGATGGTCGCCGAATTGATTTAGCTATATGGGTTAGTCAAAGTTTCATTAAGAAATTATTTTTAACTATTTTATTTATTAGGATACGGCAGGACAAGAACGATTTCAAGCACTTGGGTATTGATATTTAATCTATTGAAAATAAATTTTGTATTGAATTTTTAGTCCTTTATATTATCGTGAAGCAAATGGTGCTATTCTTGTATTTGATATAACAGATGAAGATTCATTCAATCGAGTATGTTTATCTAATTACAAAAACAAACTTAATAAAATCCAATTTGTTTTTATTTAAGGTAAAAAGTTGGGTAAAAGAATTAAAACGAATGTTGGGCGATGATGTAGTCTTATGTATTGTTGGAAATAAAACTGACCTTGAAAAAGATCGTCATGTATCCATTCAAACCGCCGAAGAATATGCTCGATCGGTTAATGCTAAACTTTACCATACATCAGCTAAATTAAATAAAGGAATTGAAGAACTTTTTAATGATTTGGCTACTCGTAAGTTTTTTCAAAAGAATCGAACATATTTAATAATAAGTATCTTTTGTTTTCAAAGGTATGCTTGAAAAAGTACCAGCAACTTCAAATAATTCGAGTTCACTTCGACCAAGTGGAATCCCCATTCAAGCGTCTTCAACAACAGGTGAAAATGGTCGACAGAATACTAACTCTTGTTGCTAGCGCTTTTTTTAATTTTGTGTTTATTTATGTGAAAAATCGAAGTTTAAAAACAAATTATTTTTTTTCATGCTCTTACTTTCTATTATTATTATTATAAAGCCATGTTCAATGTATAACTAGAAGCTCTTTGATATTTCCTAACAGCTGATTGATACACAATATACGTCCTATCAAAAGTCGAAATACGATTGATTTTGACACATGCAATCTTTATATGAACCGTACCGAAGTGTCTATCGCTGCCAATTCTTTTGTTTTGTACCTACTGGCATTATAATGAAAATTAAATAGAGGTATTAGACTTTCCTGATCAGAAGACAAGAAAGTTTTGTTTACTGAAACGACATGGCGATACAATATATATATATATTGATTTAATACAACATGTATTGATCGAGAATAGATAACGAATAAATTACGTAGTATTTAAGAAAAAAAAACTATGTTTTCGTTTAAAAATGTTTCGAATAAATTTGATGAACTAATTGAAGAGAACGTATCTCGTTCTCCCATGTTATGATAATGTAAATATGAATTATGGCACAATAAGCATTAGTCAATGATTCATGTAAGATAATAATAATAATAATCGATTAGAAAGGTCAAAAAGTTAGTTGGGAAAACCGTTCAGTAAAGTCAATAGTTAAATGAGCGATGAACAATGTTTCTTGTCTTGTTGTGACACAAATTCTTTGACATCTGCATTATCTACTCAAAAAAACGAAATTTTGTAATGAGATATAAGAAAACATAACAAGTAGGCAGTTTGTCTGATCTGTTTGAACTTCTGACTTTTATTATATGGATTAAATCAATAAATTAAATATAATTTTCATGGGGCTTGAAATTTTTGTGATCAAGTTCATTTCAAACGTTGACTAATTGATAACAACGATTCTTAAGATTAATACTCTTCTTATTATTTGATCAATTTAAAAAAATTGTTTAGTTTTTGGTGAAAAATATCTTTGTACAGATTTCATCATGCTGGTTTACCATCAGTCGGACAAGCCATGAAAAGAATTGTCACATTGATTTTTTATACTTAAAACTCTACTTTCGTGTTCAGAATGAAGCAAACATGAAGAATATTTTTTTGTAAGTAATGGAGTAAAGTATTTTTTTAAAATAGCAATCGACCTAAGATCGTTAGTGAAACACAATACAGGTACATGAAAGTATAAAAAGAATGATTGATGCCTTAATGTTAACGAACAAAATAATAAAACATTGCCATCGGTAGTAATCAAGATCAGATTCGTGTAATTTTTTTGTAAATGAAAATAATTATTAGAACTTTTAATTTTCTTTCTGAGTTGACTGTATCGATATCTTAATGTATACTTGAACTCATTATTGTACATTTCAGACTATTGTCTTATTGAGGAATACGAAATTTCCATTACATATGTCATCAATGGTAGTATGAAATGGTTTAATTTTCATTAAAACACTCAACTTTACAGTATAGCTATTGTAATAAAAAAAGCAAAGAAACAAAGTGCATTTTAAAAAACAATCTGTACTTCAAAATTTGCATTTTTATGTTAATACTTTTCTTAAATCAACAGTGACAAGTTTATAGTAAATTAACTTTATATAATTATACGAAAAAGGAGGACTCAATATTGAGTTAGAAACATATAACCAAGAATGTTATTATAAACTATAGTGGAATTTTAGTAATAAAGTTCATCTCAATGAATGTTTGTTTTTAAATAATTACAGTATATAGTAAAAAATTATCAACTATTACTCTCGTTAATTTTGTTTGCAGCTCACTAGTGTCGCGAGAATAATATCCAAATGTGAGAGTGAGAAATGGGAAGAAATTACAAAAGAAAATGACATCACATGATTGAGTTCCAGTCAACAGAGCTTTGTCAGGACATGCCAGAACTAATTTTTTTCAATATTTATAACCTTTGTCAAAACTTTTGAATATATACGTTGATATTAGATAACGTATCTCAATTGAATTGAAAGAGAATCTTAACCTAAAAGAACGAGTCTTTCTTCAATAATAACAATAGTAAACTTTTTATTCAATACATATATTAATCTAGTTTTACTGGAATGATTGTTTTTTTGAGCTTCTATCAAAATTTTCCTAGATAAGATTCTTTATACACGTCAGAATACATCAATCACTCTTTTATTCGACGACACTGAATCAATAATAACAATCTATGTAGTAAAAAAAAAATTGCTGTTGATGATTACGTTTCTTTCTCTGTAATGTTATTTAAATGTTTAAATAGTTTGAAAGCTCTAAATTACATTTACGTACGATGAAAAATATTTTTGTTTCTAAACTATATTGTTATTTAAATGTTTATTAATAATAGTTCATGTAATATTGCTATATTTTTTCCTGTTTTGCTCTCATCAGTTGTTCTTCAGCCATGTGTGTGCCTTGAACACGTGCCCGAATCTTATCAAAAGCAATTTGTCTTGAAGTCGATTGATCATCACAAAATGGAGAAAAACCACAATCATCAGTTGTACCTAACTGTTCTACAGGTATGTATTTCACTGCTTCTAGCACTCGAGCACACACTTGTTCTGGCGTTTCAACGATCGGATCAATTGGATTAATGACACCAACAAAAATTCGATGCCAAGGCTTCATATATTTGCGAATGCATGCTAATACTCGATCACGATTTGGTTCACTTGCTAATTGTAAATAAAAATTGCCCACATGAAGTTCGAATAGAGTAGGAAGAACTTCTAAATAGTCGATTTCCAAAGAATGGGTACTATCTTGATCTCCACCTAAAATAAAATATTTATGAAAGAAAGAAAAAAGGAAATGTACTATTTAAGAATATTATAAACCTGGACAAACATGAACGCCAAGTCGTTGTTGTTCTTGCGATCCAAATCGATCCAATACTCGATTATTAAGTTGAACAAAGTCTCGCAATAATTGACCAGTTGGATCAATTTTAAGCGAAAAACGAGCTTCAGTAAAATCAAGCTGAACACAATGAACTCCGCTTTCAAGACATCGTCGAATATCTTTTTCAGATTCAACAATTAAATCATTCAAAAATTGTTCATGCGAATAACCTTGTATAGTAGCTTTTGGATAAAGCATTGATAAAGCTGATGGTGTAATTACTGCTTGTCTATATTCAATAAAATTGCAATGAATAAATAAATTATTTAGATTATTTACTTAATTGGTAATTGAGTTATTCGTTTTGCAACATCAATATAACTATGAGCATAAACTGCATAACGAAATGGAGCTTTCGTCAGACACGGTACTATTCGTTGATGACCATCTGCAAATTGAATTGATAAACAGTCTGGTGTAAATGTATAATATTCATTTAACAATGTAGAGATTGGGTAAGTTAGGAATGATGGTTTTGTTTGTTCACCATCTGTTACTACCGGTGATCCTGTAGCTTCCATTTCTTCGATTGTAATTTGTATAGCCCTTTTATAATAATCATTTAAGTGATTAAAATTAATTTTTCCATCACGATAGTTACGTTGAGCGGCAATTAAATCATCGGGTCGAGGTATGGAGCCAATAGGTTCAGTTGGAATAATGATCTAGTCAATGACAAATAGTTAGATCTTCAAACATTTTTACAACTTACTTTTTCTATGTTACTAATGTTTGCCATCAAAATATAATAGAGGAAAAAATGTTTTCTATAGTATATGTATCAATATTCAATCTAAATTAATAAATATTTATCTATGAAGAAAAATACAAAAACCTAATATTGTATGCATAGTATAAACTCCATTTATACTCTGTTCTAATGTTATATATTCTGATGTGATGAAAGAAATTTGTCAAGATAAAAACCGCATAATTGTTGTTTCATATATAAACAGTTTTGTTAAACAGAAGACAACCAACAGCAATACTTCAAATAACTTATATTATTTACTATATAATGATAAACATGGAGAAAATCTTTTAAAGTGATTCTCTTCAAAATAGCTTTCACTTGTTTTTGTTCTCGTGAAGTAATTTTTTCAGAAGTATGCATGAAAATTGGATTCTGACATATTCATCGAGAAATGCATTTAGTGTGCTAGAAGAAAATACTTTTGAAATAGAATTAATTTTGAGGGATGAATGGTAGAGTCCATCGGCGACTTTTATATTTATGACAGTTTCTTCAAAAAGCATTGGTATAACAAAAAAAGAATCGTTTCCTAATTTGACAAGATAATAGCAAATGGATATGATAAATATTCTTTCTGATACCCTGTCAAACCCGTCGGCTTAGAACATTCTTGTATCTACAAAGAATTTCCAGAAAATTGTGTTTACTTCCAAAATATTTTTCTAAAGTTGTTTTATATCATCCACAAAAACGTGAGCTAATTTATTGATAGTTGTTGCGTATGAATGCAGGATAAGAGTCCATCAATGAAGCAATAAGTTGCAAACTTACCCAAGAGGACAAGAACTTCTAAAATAAACGTTTCAATGCTCAAATTGAAGTTATATTTTGAGTTTTTTCAACTCTATTTAACTTTTTGGACGTTTTTCTAACGCCAAACTTACCATTTCCGCACTTTTTCATGCACCATTTATGATGAAAGTAGTTGAATTTGATGTTTCCCAAATGACTGTGAAAATATTCAAACGAGAATCACGATTAGAGTATTTAAAAACGTTTTCAGAAATTATTGTCTTCTGAGATATTCATGAGAATAAAAGTTTTGGAAGTGCTGAAGTGCAACATATGAGATCATGTTCGAATATTTTCCTTGCAACTATTCACACGCAATAATCTCACGTATTTGCCAAAACAAATAACTCATAGGTGTATATCAAATAGTGTCTTTCTTGTTCTTGCAAGATAAGCAGAATTTGCTTTCATGCTGACTATCGATAGAAAGAGATTCAATATAAGAAAGCTATCATCAAAACAATTTTGAATTAATAAACAAGAATTTTGCTTCTGGCGCTACTTATCATTACTTGTGTATCGTTTAAGATGAACAGTCTTGAGTATATG